GAGTTAGCTGATCATCACCTGTGGCAAGTTTTTCTTAGCTACTTGGAAAAACAAAGTGGGGGAGGTGCTGTAGGCAGAAACTGGGTGTTTTGGAGATGGGCTCTGCACACAGGGCAGTGGTCAGCAAAAAGCTGGGGCCATCGGACGCAGGTGTTGCTCTTGAAATAGGTTGGATAATGCTGCACTAACAAGGTCTGCAGCTGACCAGGCCAGAGCCCCAGGTAGTGCACATTCCTAAGGTAATTGGCCACGTGCTCTGCTCTCCTCTCTGGGCGTGCAATGATCCACGTGAGGACCTCGTGGCTGGGGCAGTGAGGAGTCAGTAAACACAAGCCCCGCAAGTGAATGATGTTGGTAGGAAATGTGGGTCTCTGAATGGGTGAAAGCCTCGGACAGGCACTGGATTGTTCTTCTAAGAAGAACCCTGTGGCCTGCTGCTGCTTTCAGATGCTTCCTGTATCTGTTTCTCTTTCCATTACGATTGCCCCCTCTTCAAACTCATGCTGTGTGTGTTACAGCACCCAGGTCTAATCAATGGGGTGCAGGGGAAATCAGGGTGGGGCGCAGGAGGTGGACAGTAAGTCCTACGGGATGGGCAGGTGTCGGCTGAGCTGTAGATGACCCAGAGGCAGCCTTAAACAGCCACCATAGGATGTGGAGCCCCCATAAGTAGCCGTTATATAAATGTTTGAAGTGGAACAGGGGAAGAACTGACACAAGCAGGTTGCTGGTGGTTGCTTCCAGATGGGTTCACTCCCCAGTTGTTCATGTCTGTTGTGTCTGGAGAGATTTTAGGTAAATGGCTTATTTGTATAACCTTACATTGAAGCCATGACCCCAAACACAGAGTCCTGGAATCTAGCCTTGGCTCTTTGATCCATCAGATGCGTGACCACATGCCTGCTCCTGCCATTGTGTCCCCTGGTACCCATGTTCCTTGTCTGTTTTGGGAGCAGGGTAGCTAGTGGTGGTGGGAGGCGTGATGACCTCAGTGAGACTCACGGTTACAGTTAGCAAAGACAAGTGCAGGGAACTTGGAGAAGCAGCAGGGCTGGCTCTGGGATCAGGGCCCTCAGAATTCCACTTGGAGCTGTCAGGCCTCTGTTGGGGTCACCACCAGGAGACTGTCTGGGTCACTCAGTCTTGCTCCTGGCTCTGTGGACACAGAACAAGTTCTCTCCCCAAGCCTCAGGAAGTTCCCCAGCCCTGGCTGCAGATCCCACAGGCACTCGCTCTGGGCTGGCCTCACACCTGTTTACTGGGCCTGGAGCCAGAGGGCCTGAGAGGAGAAAGACTGGGAACAAGAACAGAGTTTGGGAAAAGCACAAGGCTGGGCCCACCTTACCTGGTTCAGAGAAGTCTCCCATGGCAGACACTGCTGGTCCTTTGTGGTCCTTGGGGATCATACTGTGGAGGGGCAATACCCACATATGCACCAGGCTGCCTCCCTCCCTTTCTCCCTCCCATCCTTCTCCAGTCCCTGGCCCACCCAGATCCAGTCCCTAAACAGCCTCAGCCCAGCCCAAAATTAGAAGCAAGAGCTGTTTGGGCTTGAAGGGCTTAGGGGTCTTTGTATAGAGGAGCCTGAGACCCAGGGCATGCAAGGGAGAGACAAGAGGCCACACAACAGGCTTCCATGTTGCTAGGGACACTCTTCAGGTCTGGCACAGTGATCAGAAGGGCAGCAGGTGCCTGGGAAATGGGGTTGGGGAGGAGAGGAGTCTTAGCTGCTGCTGTCACCGGCCGCCCAGGACAGCTTTCATCAGGACTGGAGGCTAAAATCAGGCAGAAAGGGTACCTAGGCTACAATGGGCTCTACAGGGCCTTCTCATCCCTTGAGGGTGGAGGGTACTGGCTGGCACTTGTATCTCAAGGCACTTTCTAGGAATCTGGGAGATTCATCAAAAACCAATGTGTGGAGCCCAAAGACCCTGGAGTTGCAAGCAGAGTTGTCACTCACGCCATCTTTGATCTAGCCTCCCCCATCCCACTTAATGTCTAGTAGCCTGGGGCATAGGGTTCCCCTCCTTCTAACTCAAGATCCACCCCCTCAAGGCCCCAACACCCCGGATCCTGTGCATGGTCCTGCCTCTGCTCAAGAGAGTGCTCTGGCCACAGGCTGGTCCCCTCTGCCACTTCTGCACAATTCCCCTGATCCCCCTGGATTCTGGTACCTGAGTGGCTGAGACCACGGTGGGCCAGAGAGAGTGTGAAGCCTCCAAGGTGACCACCTCTGTCAGGAGGCCTGGAGTTCTGGGTCGGTCAGTGGCTGTGTCGCAGTGACAGCCAGCGGGCAGCAGGCAGCCTACTCGGGCTTCAGCTGCCGAGAATCACTCCTGCCTAGTCCTGGGTCACAGCCTTATTTCGGGCTGCAACAGGAGCCGGGGACCAGATGCTGGGAGCACCCTAGGGAAGACAGGTGCCCAGGCAGCAGGCCCTTGACGACAGAAGGCTTGCAGGCGCGCATAAAAGTCACCTGAAAATGCCAAGTGTCAGCTGCGGCTCATGTGGGCTTGTTAACTGTGGTGGCCTTCATGTCTCAGTGGGTGTCTGATGGGAGCTTCATAGATACTTGGTGGGTGGACAGATGGATGGGTGAGTTCCCGCCTCCCCCCAGTGTCTTTGTTGCACTTATCCTGCCTGCCTTCTTTATGTGTCTGCTCCCTCCCTCTTCCCACCTCCTCACATTCTCAGAGCTCTGTGAACTGAAAATAAATGAGGCGGGGCTCTCTGTCCTTAAGGAGCCCAACCAGGTCAGTCAGATCCAGACCAGTAAACAAGCCTCTGAGGCATCATGGGAAATACTCCGGAGGGCCCAGGGGTGTCCACAACGTGTCAGCAGCTCAGCCAAGGGGATTGGGAAGGCTTCCCAGAGGAGGAGCATTCCAACTGGGCCTTGAAGGATGAGCAGGGCCCCAATGGGCAGAGAAGGGGCAGAGGGCATCACAGTCAATGATAGGTAGGTGGCAAGCAGGGCTAGAGCAGGGGCTGTGAGGAGGTGCTGAGAGATGGTGTCGGATGGGTGGGTCAGGGCCTGGTTTTTGACAAGAAGCTGTGCTTACGATGCACTGATGGGCTAGAGTGGTCAGACTGGCATTTCTCAAGGACATCATGTGAGAAATGGGTTCAGGCGGCTGACTTCAAACAGGGGGACCCTGCAGCCAGGTGAGAGGAGTGGCTGGGCTGCAGCACAGGGGCCATGAGAAGCGAAAACAGGAGTGTCTAGACAATCTCTAGGTCTTGGGCCCGGTGTGGTAGCCTAGTGGCTAAATCCTTGCCTTGCATGTGCCGAGATCCCATATTGGCCCTGGTTTGTATCCCAACGGCTCCATTTCTCATCCAGCCACCTGCTTGTGGTCTGGGAAAGCAGTTGGGGAAAACCCAAAGCCTTGGAATTCCCTGGCTTCGGATCAGCTCGGCTCTGGCTGTTGCAGCCACTTGGGGGTGGGTTAGCAGATAGAAGATCTTTCTGTCTCTTCTTTTCTCTAAACCTGCCTTTCCAATAAAAATACATCTTAAAAAAGAAGAATCTCCAGGTCGTGGAGAGAGACTTCCTGTGGTGTGCCAAGGACCACTCTGTTTCCATTGGGGGTGAATAACGGTGGGTTGCAGGGCAGACACTGAGCCTGCCTCTGGATGTACTTGCTGTGTTGAGCTCAGCAGCTCATCACCAGGCTAGTGAATACTGAACTCTAGAGAGATCCCAGCTATAGACACTGACAGAGCACATAGGTCACTGCCGGGGAAGGGTGGGTATAGCACAGGGGCACAGGCTGTGCACTGTGCCAGGGCATACTGCTGAACTCTATGTGATACTGTCACCTATACTCAATTCCCTGCCTCTTGAGTTCCTCTGCCCAGTCCCTGCAAGGCTTGAGCTTCTAGAAAGAAAGGGAGGGGGAGGTGCCAAAAGTGGGTTTGGCCTCACCTGAGAGTGGGACCACAATGCCCTTCTCTGGGCAAAGGATGCCCTGGCAGGAGGAGAGGATGCCTGAGAGCTGAGTCCTGACCTGCTAGATTACCTGCACCTGGATGTGACCTCTCACCTTGATCTCCCGTCCTGCTAGGAGAAAGCACGCCCCGGCCTGACCCTGATCCAGCTTGACTGCCCATTGCAGTAACAATGTGCTGTGGTCAGAGCCTATGCAATACCTTCTCAAGATTTCTTAGCCCAGTTCTCCCTTTACACAGATGGGGAGACTGAGGCCAATCCAGGGGTCTTTTTTGTGGTCCCAAGTTTTTTCCATTGTTCTCCATCCTTCCCTACAGTTGTGCCCCAATCTCCCAGCTAGTGTGTCTCAAAGATTTCCATTGGCCTAGAATCCGTGCCTGGGGAGATGACAAAGGGTTTCCAACCCAGCCAAAAATGACACTGGAGGCAGAATAATGCAGGAAGCATTTACTGAGCGTCAGAGCAGAATGCTACAGGAGGCAAGACGCAGGACACTAGCAAGCTCTAGTGGGTTAGAGGGACAACTGACAATAAGAGGGGCAAAGGCACAGCTTGCCAAGGCTGCCTCCTTCTGGCTATTATGGGAAATGCAGGTAGAGGTGGCCCCTCATTCGCCCAGGCCTGGCAGCGTGTCCTTAGCTCCAGTCTCCACTGCTATGAGGGGTCCCTGCAGCAGGCAGGGGACAGAGGCTTCAGCAAATGTGGCAGCCTTTCATCTTCCTGCCAGCAGGGCCTAAGGCCCTGGGCACCCTTTGGCACCACATCTTTATTCTAAAGCTCCCACCACAACTCTCTTCCACCCTGACCCTGGCTCGCTTTCTCCACCCTCACTCGGGGATTCCAGACCTAATATCACCCTGAGGGGTAACTCCTGCCCTTACCCCATCCCGCCACCCCCACCCATCACACTCTCCTTCTGTAGCTACATCCTGTCATCCTTCCACTCACACATGCTGTTAATCCTGTGCCCTGAAGGAGTGAGGCTGCCAATGCCAGTCTCTAGAGGGCACCTCTGTGCCAATTCAGCCAGGCACAGCACCTGGCTGAATCAGAAGCCACTGAAGTGTATGCAATGGTTGGAGCCAGCAGCCAGTACCCCCACCTCCACCACCAAGTCATGGAGAGTTGGGCATTAGCTGGGGAGGAGGCAGATCCCACTCTAACAAGTGTGGGACAGACTGAGGGATGAGAATGAGGAAGGGGCACTTTCTAGGGCGGTCAGAAACGCGGGCATAGTGTAGCCTCACCCCTCATTCATGCTCCCCTGTCCTGTTGCCCTGTGTTCAGGCCCACAGGATCTCTACCTCCCTGCATTTACTACTCCCTTTCACCGAGAATTACATTCCAGGCCTGGAGGGGCCCTGGGTCGTCCATCCCCACCTTTGCTGTAGTGAGGGCTGCCTGCTTTCTTCCCCTGACTACAAACCCTTGGTCTGTCTCAGCAAGAAGGTATCCCCAACCCGTGAGTCACAGATAAAGCCTCAGGATCCCTCTGTGTCCCTCAGCTCTGCTTGGGATCCAGAACCCATCATGTGTAGGCTCAGAAGGCTCGGGGCCCAGTCCTGGGGTGGGGGGGCGAGATTGTGCCTTGGAACCTCTGAGGTGGGCTGTGTCGGGAAGGGCGAGAGGCGGAGGCTGGGACACTCTTCCTGCCTCCCCAGAAGGGACAGCCGGGCACCTTGAGCTGGCCTGGGAGACTTCTCTAAAGGTCACCGGGTAAAAATAGAGATTGTCTGGGAAGAGACGGAAAACAGTTGCTTCTGCCCAGGCAGTGGCGGTGCCAGGGAACTGGACGCGCAGGGCAGGGTCTGTGTGGGTCGTGGGGAGCACAGGGGAGCTGGGGGTGGGGGCATGCTGCAAGCTGGGGGGCTCCTATCCCCAGGACACATGCTGGCTTGTTGCCTTGAAGGCTATGTTAAACCGGTGGGGCAGCCAAAGGTCAAAAAAAGGAAGATTCTTGCCCAACATGAGGCAAAAAGATAACAGAACAAAGGCTAGAAACCAAGTTGGGGTCCCTGTCCCAGACCCGACAGGGACATAGTACAGGAGTCCCCCAAGCCCGGTCACTCTTCCTTCTGCAGCTCGGGCCGCGTGGGGTGGTCGTGGGCCGGAGCGGCAGGGGCTTTAGGTGGTGCAGGAGGCTTCTGTGGGGAGGCTGCCCCGCTTGAGCCGCAGGCTGCCCGTCCACCCGCGGGGGCAGATGTTGTAGCCAAGGATGCCGGGCGATTTGGCCCCGGAGTCCTCGGAGTCGAGGGACACGTCGGAGTCCGTGGGCGAGCGGCGGTAGGGGAAGGGCCTGGGTGGCGCGGGCAGCGGGCTCCGGGGCCTGGCACAGGACCGAGCCCCGACGGGCAGCGGACTCCTCAGGATCGGGGCGAACGCGGCCCCAGGCGCCGCCGGAGGGCCGGGGCGCGCGGGCTGCGGCGAGCGCATGCGCGGCGGCGGCGGCGGCGGCGCGCGGGGCGGGGAGAAGGGCCGCAGGCTCTCGGCGCCCGCCGGCCGCGGGGAGGCGCTCTTGCGTCGGGCAGCGTTGATGATGTTTCTCGCTAAAAGGGCCTGCAGCTGGCGGCTGGGAGGTCGCACCTCAGGCTCGGAGCGCAGCGGGGACACGGAACGCTCGCTCCACGAGGGCGACATGGGAGGCGGCGGTGGCAAGGGCGGGGGGCTGCCCATGTTGCTCCCGCGGCCGGGCTCCCACGGCCCCGGGCTCACCCAGCCATCCAGGCTGCTAGGGGGACGGGACGCGGCCGGCGTCCAGGGCGGGGAGGTGGGCAGGCTCTCCCGGCGGTCCTGAGGAGAAAGCAGAGAGGGCGGAGGCAGGCGTTAGAGTGGCGTTTTGGGGACCCGGGGTGTTTTGGGAAGGGCCTGGTCAGGTTTGTTTGTTATCTGGGAGCCCGAGGCGGGCAGCGAAGCACTGGTGGCCCTTGGGGTGGCGACTGTACCCGCGTTTGTCAGAGACCTGACGGGGCGCTTCGGGGACGGACTTCTTTACTGAGAGTCGTGGTTTCCTCAGTAATTTATCCAGGGGCTAATAGTAATCACGCTGAGGTAAAAAAAAAAAAAAAAAATCTGAGGTAAAAAAAAAAAAATGATAAGAGTCAGTCAGCCAGGGCGGCCGGGAGCCTCACCTACTGGCGGTCACCACAGAGAAACCCTTTTTGAGGGTCACAGATGAAACTACTCAGGGTGGAGAGTGCTAAGCCAGGGGACCCAGAGCACTCCACCTCAGGGCAGCGGGCGAGGCCTCCAAATGTATTGCTTTCCACAAAAGCTTACACCTGGGGACCCTCTGGATGAAGTGACCTGAATTTTAGAAACACTCCTGCTGTTACTCAGATTTTTGAGGAAAGCCCTTTTAACCTCCGCTCTGACGCTGTGCTCGGTTCCTCGTTTTTTCCTTGAATGCCAGAGCAGGAAAGAAGTTTTCAGTGGCAGACGAAAATACAAAAGAAAGTTGGCTTTGACCTGGGCAGCACATGCTGCCCTCCTTGGACTGCTGGCCAAGCCGAGGGGGCAGGGTTGAGATTTTCAGAGCCTGGCTCTCCCCTCTGAGGACTTGGGAGTTTGGGAGCTTCATTTTTAGTTGTTCTCTCTCATGAGCTCCTCAGGACAGACTGAGAGAACTGGCGCATCACCCCTGTTTACAGTAAATGATGCCCAGTGTAGACTATCTCGTCAGGAAATTGTGTGTGTGTGTGTGTGTGTGAGAGAGAGAGACTGTTGCTGCTAAAAGTGCAGCCATGTTTGGTTTGAGGGTGGAAGGTTTAGGGATCCAGGGCCAGCACACAGTTCCTACACCTTCCCACCAGACGCCAGCATACCCAGTTTCCTCAGGTTACCAATCTGACCCAGTTCCCCTGCAGTCCATTTTTCAGAGTTCAGGGCCAGTGGAGCCATCCAGTGCCCCCTACCTAAATCAAAATCTAGAACCAGCCTCAAAAGCTGTTCTTTACTCCAGTCAGTGATCAGCCATTGCCACGCCAATCATCCTCTCACTCATCCAGTCAGGAACCTGGTCCCTTCCCAACAGACAGAGATTGTGTGCAGGACATTTCCCAGGAAGATTTCAGTCTGTCAGGCTAGCTTCAGGAAGCCGACTCCATTGCGCAGGGAGAGAAGCTAGGAGGGAGGGCTGAGTCCCGGGACCAAATAGCAGGGATGGGAGGCTAACTCCCCAGCACAGTGCCATCTTGTACAGGGAACTGGGACTAAGAGCTCATGGCCCTGGGCTGGTCAAAAAACATCCAGAGGCCAAAAAAAGCACAAGCTGTATACTGGAGAGACATGACTGTCTAGAGCTCTCTAAGGGGGTGTTTTTCACCTGTGGTGTGTCCACAAGGGGAAATATTGGGACCAACAAGTGGAGCGAGTCAGATTCCATACCAGACCGCAAATCAGAGTGGCTCAGGCATGGGAAGGCAGCAGCTCAACACTGGGAGGTGGGGGACCAGGGCCTGAGTTTATCCTCACTTCCCTGGCTGAGTATGGCTGTGTGTGACTAAAAGTGCACGGTACAGAACTGTTGGCTTTCTGCCAGAGCACAGGGTACCCTACACACAAACGCCTTGGAAATAAAGTAGCACGCACTCAACCCAACACCAGCCCCAAGGCTGGGCATAGGATGGGGGTATAAGCATGAGTAGGGCCTGGTCAGTCATGGGCTGTCAGAGATACCAGACCACTTTCTACAATCCCAGAGGCCTAGTCATCCAAGGTCACACAGGAGTCAGGTGCAGAGCTGGGGCTAGATCTCAGTTTTCAGGATTCGCCCTCACGCTGGCAGTTTGTTTCCATCCTCTGGGGACGGCAACTTCCAGGAGCCAGGGGTGACAGTGACGAATGTGGGAAATGGTCACATTTAGATAAAAGAGAGGGAGGGTCCTGAAGAGTGAATGCCTTGGCTAAGGGCATTTCAATTCCACTTGAAAAGAATGCAAACAAACCTGGTCCTCAGGAGTAGTCCCCACCCCACCCCCACCTCCATCCACCCCTACTCCCACCAGCACAGCAGAAAGTTCCAACAGGGTGCTGGGCTCCAGGTGCCTACTCAGGGCAGATCCTGTCACACTGGGGCTGCAGGCAGCATGCTAGAACACACCCACACTCAACACATGTGTACTTGGCAGGCCAGACCAAGGAGGATGAGCCCTGGCTGTCAGCAGCAGTGCAGAAGAAAAGAAGCAGCGAGACGGATTTGAGGCAGAGTGTATTAAGAACAGGAGAGGAAACAGAGTCAGGGGGAAGAGTTGGGGTAGGGTGCAGGGTGGAGGGTGGGCTCTTCCATGGCTGGCTCTCAGGGTCTAAGGGAGCTGGGGTTCGGGAAGTAGAGGACAGTGGTGTCTCCCTGTACCAGAAGGGGCCTGGCAACTCCCCCATGCATGCCCCCTTGCTGTGCAATGAGCTCACTGGGAAGGCACCCCTGTTCCCATGGTGACCAGCCCAGAGCTCAGGAAAATTGCAGGCTCAGCCCAGCAGGGCACCGCCTCCACCACCCAGCACCCCTCAGGGAGCCCAAAATAAGGCTGGGGGTGAGAAAGTGGGTGGTCCTCAGCCCCCAGCCTTGGAAAGCTTCCGAGTCCTGCCTCTTGCGTCTATATTCTAAAAGTCCCCACAAAGCCTGGTTTGGGGGGAACTGCCTCACCTTAAAGATGCCAGAGCCTCTGGGGACCTCTGACTACCTGACCCCACAGAGTAACTCAGGAATGGGAATCCTGCCATCAGTCTGCTGGGATCCAGGTCTCTCCTGTCTTAGGCTTCTCCTTGCAGCCTCAAGTCTGACTCTCCCTCCCCTTCAAGCTGCTATGCTCACTCCTAGCCCTTATCCCACTCCAGGTAGCTGTGGCTGACCCATCCCAGCTGCCTGCAGCAGCTCATTCCAGCACACCTTCACATCTAACACTACTTGCTCTTGGCAATAGCCTGCTTCCTTTCACTCTCTTCCCTTAGCACTTACAAGGCCTATCTCTCAAAGCACCAGCCCATCTTCTCAGTCCTCACAGCTTATCACAGCAAGAAGGGCTTTCACTGTATATGTGAGAAAACTGAGGCCCAGAGAGGGGAAATGACTTGACCAAAGTCACACAGCAAATGAGAGGCTATTATGAGGATCAGAGCTGTCCCCTGAGCCACCCATTCCCACCTTGCTTGTCTCCTTGGGCCCCATTCCATTGCACCCAGCTGATGTTTTATGGTTGGGCAATTCTTGGCTGAGACTGAAGCCAAAATGGCCAATGACTGATAATCAGGGGCCACTCTGCTGGCCACTCAAACATACCTGCATAACCTTCTGCAGGACTCTCCTGCTTTCTCGGAGATCCCCTGGGACGCCCTCCCACCCAAAACCAGGCTAGGACTGAGATTGATCGGGGCGGGGGGGACCAAGGCTGGGAGGGAGCATAGGGCAGTTCCCAGAGGCGAAGAAAAGTCTCAGACAGCAGGGATGGGTGGAGTCCACCGCACATGGAGAAGAGGATGGGTGAAGGGCAGGCAGAGCTCTCTGAAGCGGCGAGGAGACCCACGACGTCCAGAAGGCAGAGGCAGAAGAGACAGGCCCGTGGAGGTGAGAGTCCAGCAACAGGAAGCAAGATGTCAGGAGCCTGGGCCCCACAAGAGGGCTGAGGAGGCAAAGCCCTGGCTGGCCAAGTCTACAGGCACGGGTAGGCTGTGGCTACCCGGACCCACCACCCCTTTGCTGGCCGTGCCCCAGCAAGACGCTGGCTTCAGATTGGGCTCCTTGAAGCTTGCATAAGGCAACAGGAAGCCTGGTCCTCATGAGTCCTGTCTTTGTGGCTCTTCTCCCAGCCTGACTAGGTTGGAGTCCAACCCCCTCAGCAGGATAGACGGGGCAGCTGCTAGGAGAGAGGGGAGGCAAGACACCCAGGGTTCCACGACTGGCTGGAGGCAGCATCGGGCCGCCAAGCCACATGGGCTCTGTGGCCTCCTCACCCAGTCCATTCCCTTTCCTGCTGGCTACACAGGCTCTCCATCTGGCCTGGATAGAGGGGCCCTTCAAGGCAGTGGGATCCCCCGTGGGGGGCCATTACTTGAAGCAGAAGGAAGGCTTCCACACCTGAGCCTCGATCCCAGCAGTGCGAGTAGAGAAGGAGGGCCTGGGTGCCTGCTTGGCTCTGGGAGACCAGGCCCTGGAGGGCGACACGGGGGAGACGTCGCTGCCGTAGGTGGGGCTCACAGCAGTGGATTGCAGGCCATCCTGGCCCAGTGAGGTGTAGAGGCCTGGAGAGGAGCGGGCAGGCCTTGGCAGTGCAGGGGATGGCGGGAGGGATGCCTTGGGCAGACTGGGCATCAAGTCCAGGGAGTTGGGTTTGGCTGGGGAGGCAGCTCTGGGCGAGGCAGCTCTGGGCGAGGCCCTGGCAGGCTCTTTGATGGGTGAGAGGGCGAAGAGGGAGGGGCGCATGTGGTGCTGCGGTGGCTGCTTGGTGGGCTCTGGACGCAGGACCCCGTTCTCAGGCAGGTAGCCATGGTAGAGAGAGGCAGGTGGGGTCCGTGCCGGGCTGCGAGAGGCCACTCGCAAGCCCCCAGGAGCACTAGTGGAGTATTTCCAGGACGAAGGCAGGGACATGGTAGGGGAAGGGCAGCGAGCCAGCTCAGCGGCTGTCGGGCCTGCAGACTCGATGACATACTTCTCCATGCGTGACTGGCGGCGGGCATACAGCTCAGCCCCCTTCCCCGAGGCCTCCGACAGGTTCTGGTTGGGTCTGGGCTTTGGCTTGGCCTGGATGCGGGGGGACTTGAGGCAGGAGGCCCACTCAGGCACGGTCTCCTCTACTGCTGCTGCGGGACTGGCCCTGTCCCGAGGGGCCAGCTCCTGCTGGAAGTTGGAGGCCTCGGCACCCAGGGCAAAGGGCTCCTCCTCCACGCCCGCCTCCCCCTGGTCCCTCTGCCTGCGCTTCTCGTCAGCTGTCTGCACCAGATCCAGCAGGTCAGGGTTCGGAGTGGTTTTGGGCTTCTCCACAAAGGTGAACATGGACTTGCGGCTGCCCCGGCGGGCCATTGACTCGTCCAAAATTCCTGTCTTGCTGGCAGGAGCTGCCTGGCCTTTCCGATGAGAAGGCTTGGGGTCAGAGCTGGGGTACAAGGCAGAGTAGGATGGGGGAGAGCGAACTCGGGAAGCTGGGGGAGCCGCTGACAGGGTCTCAGCATAGGTGGGGGGTGGGGTGAAGTGTCCCAAGGGGCGTCTCTCCATGACTGGGCTTCGCTGCCCCACCAGCCTCCTCTCTACCATGGGGCTGGGGGACATCACATGTCTCTGTGGCCGTGGGCTCCTGTCTGCCACAGTGGGAGAGCTGTGGAGCTGGGGAGCCACGGCCTTCTCCCCAAGATGCCGTCTCTCCACCATGGGGCTCCTTTCTACTTGGCCGCTGCCACTGGATGCCTGCATCCCAAAAGGCCTGGCCGTCCTGTTGACCACCGAAGGGGGCTTGGCCAGCGTGAGGTGGACCTCGCTGTATGCCTTGGTGGGTGTGGTAGCAGCTGCCTGTCCACACATGTCTGGTTCTGATGCCAGCCTGAAGGCGCTGGGCTGTGCATCGATGAGTAGGGAACTAGACAGGAAGTCGGGGCCGTGGGGCCCAGAGCTGGAGATGGGCGTGACTTCCCGGGAGAAGGTGCTGGTGGTGGTCAGTGGGGTTGACACCTTGTCAATGAGCAATGTGCTGAACATCACCTCCTCCCCTGCCTGTGCTGGGGATTGCCCATCAGGGCCCGGGGCACTGGGCAGCTGGGAATCCGGAACAGAGCCATTGGAGGGGAACGGCCCCTTGGAAGCGTTCTGCGGGGTTTTGGCTGGTGGCAAGCTCTGCGGGCTGGAAGTTGCCACTGGGTTCTGATTGACGTCTGTGGCTGGTGGGTTGTGGGCGCTGTTGGAAGCTGGTGTGGCAGTGAGAGTGGTACTGGCTGAGGAGAGGTTCTGGTTGACATCTGTGGCTGGGCTGTGGTCCTCAGCTGGAGGAGGGGTCGGTGGGGACTGCTGGGTCTCCCGGCTCTGGGACAGGTGCAGCCCATTGGCCGTCAGCAGGGCCGCATTCTCCTTCAGATAAACCACCAGCGGGACCTCCTCCTCCTCACTGGCCACCTTCTCCAGGTGCCGCAGCAGACTGGCCTCCTCAGAGTAACCCTCCATGCTGCGGCAGGGACCCCCTCGGTTGGGGCTCTGGGGACCAGGCTGGCTTGGAGGGGCTGGTTCAGGCAGTGAGGTAACGCTCAGGCTGAGCTCCCTCTGCACATGGCCCTTGGGGCTCTCAGGGAGTGCTCTGAGGGACTCCTGGCTGGGCTTCCGTCCCCGCTGGCCGTGGCTTTCCAAGGTGAACTCGTTTACTCGCTGTCGGCGCCGGTTGAAGAGCTGCACGCCACGGGAGTTGGAGCTGGGTGGGGTGGTCAGCTGGGCCGCGATCTGCTGGCTCCACGCTTTTGCCTCTTTCAGGTCCTTCTCAGTGAAGCTAGTGCTCCGGCCCAAGGCTGCAGAGGGAACAGAGGCCCGCTTAGCAGATGGGTATCAGCACCGTGAAGCATGCATGCACACACACACGCACACGCACACACAGGCTAGCATGTTCTCACCCAGGGCCCTCCTGCTCATGGTCCTTCTCTTTAGAATTTCCTGCACTTGGTCTTCATTATAAAGACCCTTGCCCCTGCCCTTTATGGTCCTGCTCCAGCATCCCCTGATCATGCCTTCAGGACTAACTGGTCTTCTCTCTGGGTTCCCCGTGAAAGCTGGTCATGTCACCAAACTGTGCCCAAACACCTCACTTCCGAAGTCATCTCTCACTCCTCTCCATCTACCCATCTCCTTTCCCGTTTGCCCTGACATGCTGGTTTCTTTGTTTCTCTTGAAAATGCCACAGTGGTACTACCCATGGCTTTGGAGTCCACTGTCCTCTCTGCTAGGAATAATCTTTCAGCAAAAGTTTCCACATTGCTTTCTTCTTACAGCTCAAGCCTTGGCTTCAAAGTCACTTCACTGGAGGGGCCTTCCCTTCCCCTGTCATTCTCTTCATAGTTTTCCTTACAACTTGAGGTTTACTTGTCCATGACATGTCTGCTCACCTTGGAGCATGGGTATACAGGGGCAAGGACCCAGCTTGACCTGTTTGTCCCCCGAACCTGGATTGCAGCAGTGCTTCAAGTGCCCCTCCACACCTGTGAGCTCCCTCTCTCAGGGCTCTTGACATTTTCAAACCAATGTTGTCATCTGCTTGGATTGTATGTAGAGGAGCTGCCAATATTCCCCCTGTCTAGAGTGGGAAACACGGTCACATGATCCAAAGAAAATCAGAACTCAGTCCCCCGTGAGACACTTGTTCCACCCTGAGTACAGCTCCTTAGCACCAGCTACCTGCCGCTGTCCATGTCCTCTGCCCCCTTCAGAATACCATCCCATTGTAAGGAGCACCCGCTTAGAAGTTCACACAGGTTCACCCTAGGACACTGTGTCCTTTCCTGTTCTCACAACAGCACTGTGAGACTATCATGACTTGCACCTATTTTTCAGAAGGGGAAACTGACTTGAGCTCTTACAGGTAAAGATGGCAACAATGGACTAGAACCGGTTTTAGGTCCACAGCTCATGTTCAAGCTATCTGCTTACCCTATTTTCTGGCCACTTTGAGATATACACAGGGACAGAGTCAGCAGGGGACCTGGGATCCAGGATGAGGCTAGGGTCAAGCCTCCATTAGTCCCTAAGTTCACTTGGGCCACCATTGCTCTCTTTACTCCCTGGTGTTCAGCTGGCACTCAGTTGATAAGCAGCATGTGCTGGCTGAACAGTGAGCAAACAAACCAACAGTCGTGGGTGGAGTGGCCTGTGGCAGGGTCAGGAGCTCAGTAGCTGGGAACATTCCTCCCTGTAACACCCTGTCCCTCCTCTTCCAATGGGAAGCTAATTAGTTCTTGAGGAATCTGACTCTGTCCTCCCTCCTCCCTGGCATTCATTAGCAGGGGACCATGACCTGCCAAGTCTCCAGAGACCATCTTTCTTGGCACCCTGCCAGCCACACTCACAGTTCACTGACTGGGAGGGCCAGTAGGCAGGAGCAGTTTCACCACCACCCAAGTACAGATAGGAAAACTGAGTCCGGAGAATGGCCAGGGCAGAGTCCACTGAGAGCAGACAGTAGCCTCACAGGTTCAGACAAGGCAGCCACAGGCTCTCTGGTCTCAACCTACTCCCCACCTCCTCCCATCTGGGCCTGGCTATCTCCCACCTGCTGGAAACTGAGAGCATGCTCAGCCTACCCCACCTGCCCGTGATACTTGCTGCCCATGAAGACTCCCCTGAGAATGGAAGAGTTTAGCCAGGCTGCTCCCCTGGGGGAAGATGGGTGATGGGTCGTCAGTCACACAAGAGGCCCCCCACTCCTGCATTGTTGGTCTCCTCTGCTCATTGGAAGCCCAAATCTGAACTCAGCCATTTGCTTAGCTGTACAACTATGGCAAGTGACTGCACCTCTCAGGGTCTTGGCCTCCTTCCTGAGAAGGGTTGGAATTGGATCAGGGCAGGGGGATATGGTAGGAAGGGATGTGTATGTTTTTGTCACAGAACGTTAGGTTTGAAGGGCCACAATTAGGTTGTGAATGCCAAGGGCTCATTATCAAGTCCAGGTGGACAGGGCAGCGGGTTCATGTTACCCTTAGACAGGGTGGCAATTGCTGATCCTACTCAAGTCCCTGGGAGGCATCAGATCTACTAGCAAAGGAGATTCTATGGAAGGGGTTCCTGCAGGCCACACAGCAGGGGCTTCTAGGAGCAAGTGGGGAATTGGAGTGCACTGCCCATGAATTTAGAAGCTCAATCTCTGGGTCCAGTTCCTGGTTCCCCCAAAACACGGCCCTGAGTGCATAAGTGTATAAGCAGGTAAACTGCTTACAAGTTCACCTGGTGAGAGTGCTTCATCCCAAGGAGGTGCCTTCCCCTAACACCTTCACCACCACCCTGATATGCCCTGCCTCCTCTTGTTGTGGTTCTTCGCCCAGCCTGACAGCCCTGCAAAAGATGAGAGATGAGTCCCCTTCCCTCCAGGGGACACAGAAGGTTCACATTGCCACAACAGCAACCAGCTAGGCTGACACTGCTGGGGCACTGGCTGCACTGAGGCTCACATGTGCTCTTTCCATGTCCCACCTGCCTCATGAAGCAGCTCTTCAAGCAGGAGCTAGCACTGCACATGCTTAAGTGAGCAAACAGGGACTCAGAGAGGTTGTGTGAGCTGCCCGAGGCCACAGAGCCAGACAGGGGTGTAGCCGGGTGCCGACCATGCCAGGCTCAGAGAAAGTGCTTTGGTGTGAATCATCCAGACCTCTCAATGCCTCTACAGTTTGCTGCAGTTCCCCTTACTTTTCTGCCTTGATTCCATTCCCCAGGCTGACTCTAGAAGGTACTGGGTTTAGAAAAGTCCCCAAAGCCAAAGTGTGAAGAAGGGTCCTTGGAGAGGAGCTAGCCTGGGAGGTGCAGAGAGGAGGCTGCTGACTCCCAGAAGGGCTCAATTCACAGCCTCCACCTCTGTGAGCTTGGAACTACCCTCAGGCTACTGTTCTGGGCTAAGAGGAACCAGAAGAGGCCAGGGGGTGAGAGAGCCCTGCCCCCTGAGGACAGCTCCCAGGCCTCCCAGCCCTGCCCGCAGTGACTCCATGGAAAAGGAATTTGGCGGGAGGTTTGGGCCAGACCCAGCCAGCAACCCAGATGACTTTTGCCACCCTGCACAAACAAAGCTGGGAGAAGTGGGGTGGAGAGGGGGTTGTGGGAGGGCAGGAGGAGGAAGGCTTGTCCAACAAAAGGCACCCCAGAGACCCTTGCCCCAGGGCAGCAAGGGGACAAGCACCATGGAAAAGTCCCCAAGACTAGGGAACTACCACTTCTGGCAGTGGCCCAGGCAGCTGGTCCAAGATTGTACTCCCTGGTGTCAGAGAGGCGGGAAGTGGCCAAGGGCGCCTGTCTCAGCTCTCACTCTGCCTGGCTGCAGCCTGCACCTGACTCCTCCTTCTCATGGATGCAGACAGGTTGGGATGTTAGCCCTCTCAAACCCCTCTGGGCCCTGGATGTGAAGACAGGCCTTAAAGAGAGGAAAACAGTGGAAGGCAGACTCAGGGAAGAGTGGCTTGGGGTAGTGAAAGAAGTGGGTCCCATAGGGTGAGTCCTGGAGAGTGGGAGGGAGGCAAGAAGGCCCGACCTAGGCGGCTGGCTGAGGCACTCACTCCAGCTGCTCCTGGCAGCCAGGCTCTGGGCTGTGCACTTCGAGATGACCACCTGTCTATCTCAAGAGCCCTAGAGATGCTTCCTGCTACCCTCCTCCATCTCTGTTTTGCAGACGAAACCAGGGCTCAGAGAGACCTTCCTGGGGCATCCAGCCTGAGGGTGGCAGAGCCAGGATTCAAAGAACCAGCAAGTCTGGCTGCAGTGTGGCACCTGCTGGACTCGAGGGTGGGGCAGAACCCAGGATGGCTCCAGTGTACCAGGAGAGTGGCTCACAGAGGCCAGCTGCCCTACCCTGTGCTCAGTACCCTTCTGAGCATCCAGCTGCCTGCAACAGCTCACACTTGCTCTCCACAGAAGAGCTGATATACTTATTCTTACTAAGGTGGAGACAACTGATAGGGCATGAAAGGCTGAGGGAATGGAAAACTCATAAGGTGAAGAGTCAGAAGACCACCCCTCACCCCCTCAGGTTCCAGTTTTGCTCAGGCAAGAACAACCTCACCGTTTCCCACCCCTTTTCTCAGACTCTGGCCCCCATCGGGCCTGTCTGGACCAAGAATTTGCAGGAGGGAGGCGGGCAGGGGAGGCCAGAGCAGAAGGTCAGAATAGGGAGAATTCAAGGAAATGGTTCTTCACACAGCTGCCGTCAATGGGAGGGTCTGGGCCTGACTCGAGCAGGGTGGGCCAGGGGGCCAGAGACACTGGCTGGAGGCAAGCCATTGTGATGGCTGGAAGGCTTGGCAACCGGGACGGGTAAACAGGCTGAGTAAACTGCCCCCCTGGCAGGCTCAGGAAGAAACCAATGGCTGGCCGCTGCTCAACCTCTCTGGCTCAGCTGGGGGCAGGAAGATGAAGAGGCCTGAGTAATGGCCTGACTCCCTTGCCAGCCCCTGCCCTGCATCCGCAGGCTAGGAGGAAATGACACAGCCTCCGTGGCCTGGGGAGCTCCATGCACGCCAGAGTCATGGAGGGTGCGAAAAGGCTACAGCCACCTTAGCAGGTAG